TATATATTTATAATTGCTTGAAATTTCTATAACCTTGCTCTGGATAGAGCAGGGCAAGGCCTCAAAGCATTTCAAAATGCTTCTAGCAAGCACTGTAAGAATGTTCTAGCAAGCACTGTAAGAATGCACAGGGTCACTGCAGACCCCAGCACGCGGGAGGCTTGCTATCAACTGATTATTAATAGCTCCCAAATGGTCTCTCTTTTCTCAAAAGAAATACAGTGCTACTTGAGTGTTCAGTCCCCTCCTGTTTTACTGCTTTTTCCCCCCACAATAAGCTTTTCAACTTATTTTGGTTTATATTATTAAGGTTTTTGTTTTGTTTTGTTTTTTGTCTTTTTGAGGCAGGGCTCTGCAGATCAGGCTGGTCTTGAGCTTACTTTGGAGCCTAGGCTGGTCCCCTGCCTCAGTCTCCCAGTGCTGGGATGACACCTGTGTGCCACTACACCTGGTTTATATTGGTGTTTTATTTTGTTTTGTTTTGTTTTGTTTTGTTTTGTTTTGTTTTGTTTTGTTTGGCAGAACCAGGGATTGAGCTCAGGCCCTTGCGCTTGCCAGGGAAGCGCTTCTTCAAATCACTGAGCCATCTTCTGGCCCCTATATTGTATTTTGATATGTAGGAGGAATATGGTCCTTCTTCATTGTCCTTTTTTAAACTTTTCCCATACATTTTCATATGTTTATTATTTATTTATTTATTTTGGCGGAACCAGGGATTGAACTCAGGCCCTTGCGCTTGCCAGGGAAGCACTTATTCTACTGAGCCATCTCCCCGGCCCTTTCATATGTTTATTTTCTTTTTTTTTTTAATTTTATTTGTTTATTTATGTGTGTGTGTGTGTGTGTGTGTGTGTGTGTGTGGCCAGCTCAGCCCACCAGGGGGCGGGGCTGGCTGGCATGTGGTGCTGGGGTATTGAACCTCAGTCCCTGTGCTTTGCTAAGCTTGTTCTAAGTAGGTGCTTTAGACCACTGAGCCATCTCCCTGGCCCTTTCATATGTTTATTTTCCCAGGTGAATTTTAATAACATTCTATCAAACCCCTCCATTCTTTTGTTATTTTAATTGAAAATACATTGAACTATGAGTTCTTATCCGAAGAATGACACCCAACAGCAGGGCATGTCTTCCTATTTACTTCACTTTTCTTTTTTTTTTTTTAACTCTTTTTTTTTTAATATTTATTTATTTATTTACTTATTTATTTATTTATGTATTTTGTGTGTGGCCAGCTCAGCCCACCTGGGAGCGGGGCTGGCTGGCATGTGGTGCTGGAGGATTGAACCACGGTCCCCGTGCTTTGCTTAGTTTAGCTTGCTCTAAGTAGGTGCTTTAGACCACTGAGCCATCTCACCAGCCCCACTTTTCTTTTATTAGAGCTTTTATGTAATTTGTAACTTTAGTTTTTATCTGTACATATTTGTCATACTTTTTTTTTTTTTTTGCGGAACCAGGGATTGAACTCAGACCCTTCCGCTTGCCAGGAAAGCGCTTATTCCACTGGCCCCCCTGTCTTTCTTCTTGTGGAACCTACAAAGTCCTTGTTAGATTTATCCATTTTCAGCTCTTTCAGCAAGTGAAATACATACTTTTCATGTTTTCTTTTCCTTTGTTGGCTGGAATAGAACCTAGGACTCTGCACATGCTGAGCAAACAGTCTACTAGAGAGCTACACCTCAGCCTAGGTCATGCTTCTCATTCTAACCAGCTGTGGGCCTTTAGTCAAAGCAGGTACCTTTTCCACCTCTTAGTTTCTTAGTTTGTGAGGGATGGAGGGCACTTTCATAATTCTGTCACCTTAAGCTAGCTGAAGATTTTCTGAAATGGTTTTGGGGCTTTCAGGGGCAAAATGTTGGGGGTTCCAGGGGCAGTTTTGCCCTCATTGCATTTTCATGAGAAAGACCTAGGGTCAGCTCAATTTCTCTGGTCCCAGCTGTACAAACAAATACCTGGGTCAACCCTAATTGGGGCCCTTTGCGAGTGCCACCCCCCACAATGATTCACTGGGACTGCACCCCCTCCCCATTCTCCCTGAAGGCTGGCTACACCACCCGGATGGACAACAGCTTTATTTGTGACACCAGGTATTGGACATGCATTGTGTGATCCTGGGATGGGAACTTTGGCTGTTTATCTAATGACAGTGGACAACAGCTTTGGAGCATTTAAGCTTCCAAATGTAATTTGTGTTTTGAGGATGACCCTGTGATAGCTTTGGCTTCCAGAGACCCAGAGCCAAAGGAACCTAAACAGCTTTTCTCCAGGGTGCATTGAGGACCCAGCGGGAGCATGTTTTGAGATGCAGAGTGTTATTTGGTAATACTGGAAGAAGAGGATGCGTAGGCAGAACATTACTGACACCCTTAGACTGACTGAGGCCACTGGGGCTGGCCAGCCCAGGGTTGCCAGTTCAACCTCCCACGCAGGGTGGCATCTCTTCCATGCTTTCCTGCAACCCGCACACCCCACTGTGTTGAAGACTCGGGGACAGGCTTGCACTTTCGTCTAATTCCAGCAGTGACACATTTAGTATTTAGCCTAATTGTTTCTTTAATTGAAAGCCAGCAGATGAGCACCAGTTTCTTTCCCATGCAAAAGAAGCTTGAATTAGAAGAAACAAACCAATGGCCTAAGAAAACAAAGACTGCCTTGAACCCCTTTTGTAGAAAGGCAAGTTCTTGCATCATAATGTATCTGAGCTAATTTGACTGTTGGTGCTGTTTAGTTGCCTAAACACTTTAATAGGATTGAAGTAGGCTACTCTTAGGCCTTGCAAGGATAAGAATGGGCTGCCTAAGCTCCCTTTTCTTTAAGAAAACAGCTCTCACACTTGTACAGGCCAAAATAATTAAGTAATTAGCAAAGGCATTTGTCAAAATGCCCACTGGGGCTGACGAAAATGACAGCTTTGAGAAGGATGAAGAGCTTGAAAATAGAATTTTCTCCAAGCTCCAGGCTGGGGTCAGGCCTCAAGCCTGTGAGGAAAACGCCTGCCTGGGTCCCAGCTCAACCTCTGGGGTTCAAGTTCACTTCCCTGTGGCAAAAGCCAAGCTCCTATTTCTAAGGAGGTGCTCTTGAAAGGCCTTTGGAACATCAAAGGGTTCTCACTCCGCAGCAAGTAAGTGAAAAATAAGGGAGTCATTTTTCTTTCAGAGGACTGAAACCGTTAAGCAGCCAAGTCCATGGTAGAAAAAGCATTTGTGGTTTATTAAAATTAAAAGAAGGCAACCTAGCTGGAGGTTACAAGTAAGTCAACAATGACTTGCTCTTTACCTACTGTGTGCAAAGCAAATTCCTGGATTTTCCTGGGGTCAAAGGGTCTCTGTCCTGAAGAAGCTTCAGTTTTGCTGTTGTAGGATTGATTCAACGCTGATAAATTGAGAGATTCTCTCATAACAAGAGAAAAGCAACACTAAGAGCAGTATACACACACACACACACACACACACACACAAAGAGCAGTACACAATTATATGCTCTTTAACATGTCTGGCAAGTGACATTTCATTCACGGCTCACAACTACAATGAAAAGATGTGAAGTATTTCCTCAGCTGTCATAAATGTCACAACCAGTACTCACAGCAGGTTAAGAGAAAAACAAAAGTGTATCAAATCAAAGTTTTACATGACACAAAAGCCTGGAAATTCAGGAAAAACACTGTTTTTATACTTGAATTTGATGAAGAATGGACAGGCATGTAGAAGTGTGATTTATGCCCAAAGGATATGACCTAAAGATAGTAGTAGACTGATTGGAGACCCCCAGCAAGTCCTGTCCATTTTAATTCTTTGTGGCCTCCCTGGTGGCATTCCTTTCTCCTTGGTGTAGAGCTGGATCCTTTTAGAATGAGGCTCTTATCACCTACTATCAGTCAGGGCATGGTAGAGAATTTCTTTTTTTTTTTGGCGGAACCGGGGATTGAACTCAGATCCTTGTGTTTGCCAGACAAGCGCTTATCCTACTGAGCCATCTCCCCGGCCCCGAGAATTTCTTTGTGGTCAGTTCTTACACGGAGGAAAGGCAGGGGAAAGATAGAGCAATATATCTAAGTTTTATGACTGACTTTTGGAGAAAGAGGTTCTAGCTTCTATGACATGTCTTGGGCAAGAGAAATTCTAGCTTCTGTGGCCTGTTTCTAGGTGGGAAGAGGCGAAGCCAGAAGGGCAGAGGGCCCAAAAGATCTTGCTTTTGATGTCCCTTCTTCAGTTCCAAATACTCAGCATGCCAGAGCCCTGTGCTTCAAGTTATCCTTTTCTGGGTCTCAGCATTTGTTTTCTTCCTTTTGAGGATAAGGAAAATGAAGCTTGGCAAAGTCAGGAAACTTGGGACTGAGAGATAATGCAAAGGGAAAGTCAAGAGCTCAGAATCTGAATGGGTTTTACCTGGGTTTGGACAGAAGATCCTACTTGTACAGGTTACTAAGAAGGAGGGAAGAGTGTTAGATTTGGAAATTAGGACTCGTGGGTGGCTGGAGTAGTGTTTTGGTGGAATGAATTGGGAGGGCAGACACTGAGAGAATCAGACCTAAAGAGCCTAAAACAGCCATGGGGAGGGCAATGACATCACTAATGGAGTACTGGCTCACTTGGTAGTGTTCTGGTGGTGGCATGTCTGAAGTTGAAGGAAACTGAAGCAAGTTTTCAGGCTGAGGAGAGTGGCTTGAGGAAACAGTTTTTTAAAGATATCAGAAGGAGAATGGAGGGGGCTGGGGAGATGGCTCAGTAGAATAAGCGCTTGCCTGGCAAGTGCAATGGTCTGAGTTCAATCCCCAGATATAGATAGATAGATAGATAGATAGATAGATAGATAGATAGATAGATAGATAGATAGATAGATAGATAGATATATCTTTCCTGGAGGTCTTTCTTGGAGGACATGCAGCTTGAAAGGAGGTAGGCTGGAAAGGATAGAAAGAGTGTACTATTCCTGAGGAGAAAGATGAGAACAATGAGAAGTCACTAAAGTTACAATGGTACCTGAAGTTAGGAAGGACAAAATTGATCCAGGTACAATGTGGGGTGGAGCAGTAGAAAGGGCTGACATTGGCACTGTCAATGGAAGAAGTCAAGTAAGGCCAAAGACTTAGAGTGGTTGAGTGGATGTGTGAGGATGAGGGCAATTGAAGGTTGAGATGCAGCTGGAGGCTGTAGGGTGTCAGGAGCACCAA